TCCAATCGGAGCCCGGTTGATTAAACTTTTTCGGATCTGACCAGGATCCGAACCCAACCTGTATTCATAATATCCTTAATAAAACTTTTTAATCCATTTTTATAGTCGCCCCAAATATACGAGGGTGTGTGGGTGTGGGTGTTGTTCTTCGTTGTACGCACATCCACCCACCCTAGTACCGCGTATGAAGGTATCACTTTCAACAGAAATGTTCTTTTAAGATAAGCAAATTTCAAATTATTTTGTATATGCATCAATTTTGAATTAATCAATTCTGAATTATTTAAAACGAGATGGAGATTTATATGAATATTACTTTTAATAATCGTTCTCTTTAAAGTGAATGTAGGCAGAAGATATTTTACTTTCGCTGTTCAAATGATTGATTATTAATCCTAATCGTAAACTATTGAGATTGATAGATTAAAAATCCATGATATGTAAAAGTGGATGAAATATGAAAATGAATAAAGTTCTCCTTTTCTATATGTTTATTATTTGAAATCTATGTCAATATAGAAATTCAATTGAAAAGTTTGTTTTTATTCAAGACATAAATTGTAGATCTTATCTAAAAGATGGTAAAGTTGTATGAAAAATTAGAAATAACCAAATGATAAAAAGCTTTTATTGAATGTTCCATTAATAAATAATCATATTCTTATAAAGAAAAACAAACAGATACAAAATAATATTGTAGTAACGTATATCAAGTAAAATAATATTTGAAGATACCAATGGAACAAGAATAGATGATTTTGATATTTAAATCTATATGAAATTTTTCGAAAAGAGATCTAAAATGAATAGTCAATAACTTTCACATGATTTATCGACTAACAGATTTACCCTCAGTTAAAATATTTATTAAGTAAAATATTATTACATACCGCAACGAAAGTAATTCGTATGAAGTTTATCAAAAAATATCGTCCATACTTCATCTATATGATAATGTGATTTCAATCCAATGATCATTTCTTCAGCTATTTTATTTCGAATTTTTTCTCCCTAAACTAATATAAATATTGCAAATATTAAAAACACAATTAATGTTAAAAATTGACTAATAAGTGAAATACGAAGAAGATTTAAATTTTCTCGATTAATACTCAAACAACTTATTATACATAAAATAAAAAATAATAAACTAAATATATAAATATTATTCCAATGAAACTAAATGGATTTAATAATGTTGTATTTTTTGTATTTATTGCTGACATCTGACTAATTTTACGGTGTTCAAATAAACTTCACAAATCGATGATAAATATAATAAAACCAAGAGTAAAAGTTTCCTATTATATTATGTTTATCAAAAGAATTGATAAATACTTATATACCATTAGTAAACATGACATCAAAAGAAAAATATTTCAATAGAACATTTATTCGATTAAATTCTGGTTTCAAACATTGAGAATTAAATGAATATATAGATTCTTTATTATCTGTTGCGTTGAATGAACAATATTGTTGAAATGGATCTATTAACTATTGTATTCCTAATTTCAATTTATCTTTAAATGTATATTGAACACTTGAATCAGATTCGGATAAATTTTGTATTCTACCACTATGACGTGAAATAGAAGTTTCTACTTGATTAAGTTTGAGAGAAATTGATGTTATTGATGATTGTGTAGATGTTGAAATCATGCATATATTCTTTCAGTTTTCACCGAGAATGTTTTGATGCCAGTTAAAGCATAATTATCTCAACAACTAAATTTACAGTTTTCAATCATAAAGAAGAAACTTGATTTATACGAACTATTCAATGAGAAAACAAACTCAACTATTCAATCGTGATGATAATAATTCAGTGTGCATATGAGTTATTCACAACGAATAGAATAAAACTTTACCAAGTTATTCTAATCTGTCGATGTTCACATATCGCAATATCAACAAATATTAAAATCTATCTAAACAGAATTATCTTGTCAAATATTCATTCACGATTAAATAAAGCGAAGTTACACTTTAATATGACCAAAATTTTTCAAATCACCAAAGAATAAAATGACAAGGATTATAGGATATTATCTTTAAAATATGTGTCAATCCGTGTGGTTTCTGCTTTTTTGTGTACAAGAAACGAAATGTGAAACAAATAAATTATTGAAATAATAATAAGTTTCTGTCAGTTTTTCGATATATCATTTATCATTCCTTGAAAAAATGTTTGGATCTTAAATGAATCTATATTAACAAATGGATATCTTAATATAAAAATCATAATATTGAATCTTGATTTAAGTATTAAAAAAAAAAAGATTGATTGCAGACTTTTCCGAAGCAAACTCAATGTATGAAAAAAAACATACCAGAGTTGATATCTAGTACGTCCGTTTCAGACTTAAAGGCACTTCATTGTTTTTTGAATATCTCGACAACCGCACTAGCTAATGATCTGCGGTTTTCACCAATCGAAAGAGAAGACAAGGGGACATTTTTTATTCTGATAATGCATAAGACGAAATCATTTTGAACACTACCATTCATGGAAATCTTTTCTGAGAAGGCATGGAAACTGTATGCCAATAGAATGAATTTTTGATTTTGATATTCTCATTAGATAGAGGAATTTGAGATCTATACCTCAAGATACAATGCAAATAGTTCTTTTATTGCATTCTAACATTGAGCAAATGGAATCATGTACTTACATGCGCAAATAATAGAGAATTTGGTTGATTTTTTAGTAAGTTTTCGCACTTTTTATCATAGCAGCTTGAGATCTCGATGAAAATGTAGGATAAAGTAAGAAAGCGTATTGTGTCTTGAACTTATAGATCTTAAGTCTCTCTATCTAAATCAAAGGTCAAGATCAAAATTTCATCTTGTTGGCAGGTCATTTAATGGGTTCTTTTACATATTCTTCGAAAACGATTAGTTTTAAAAGAATTTCGTCATATGCATTGTCAGAGTAAAAGATGTCCTCTTGTCTTCTCTTTCGAGTGGTGAAAACCACAGATCGCTAGCTAGTGCGGTTGTCAAGTTATTCAAAAAACAATGGAGTGCTTTTAAGTCTGGAACGGACATTAGTTAAGAGAAAAAAAAAATGTCCCAACCATTGTGAAATAACAATTAGTTTATGCAAATAAGAATATGTCATAACCATACAAAAAAAATTTATGAAATCTCATATTATCTCAAATATAATATGTCACAATTTTTTTTTTGTTTGTTTTATGATTTCAAATATTTTCTACTTTGAACGTATCATTATTATATGTTTTTTGCTAGAAACACCGATTGTCAGTGTTTAATAGTAATAACTAATGATTTTAAATAATATCCAATCGATAAATTCTGAATTAATTTTATCAAAGTAAAATTCTTAATAATCTTTAGGAGGAAAACTATTGTTTGTAACTATCAAAATCAGTAATTAAATGTTGAATTTATAAATTATATCGAATAAAAGATTTTTATTCATTTAATCGTGTTTTAATCAAGATAAAGATCATCTCAAGAGATTTTTATATAATATTGACCTTAACAATAATTGATTAAATATTTACGATAGTCAAGGTCGCCAATGGAAAGAATAGTAGCAACTGACATAGCTTAACTAATGGATTTTCCCCATCTAATAATGTCGTTTATATATATTCTATAGGATTACTTTTGATTTTTTTTCTAAAAAAATGATTATCTTTATGAACATTTATCCATTAAATAAGGTTCGATAAAATGCATTGAGTCGTTTGTAATGTTTTTGTATAATGTATTTTTAGAGTATAATATTTGATTTTAATATAGACTGTTTTATTATTGTTTAATCGACAAACTATATCTTCTACTGAGAATTGATTTACATTTAATGTCAATAAAATTCTCAAGATTTGTCATTATGTTAAAAAAAATTTGATTATTTATCGTACTTGAAGATATTGGAACATGAAAAATACATCATGTTCGAATTAATACAAGAATAACTGTTTAATGATTTCGATCTTATCTTTCTTTCAATTTATCTCCAAAAAAAAAACAAGTAATAGAATTTTATTTGATATTAGTTTTGATAAGATCTCATTATGAACAATAATAATCTAATCACAATACGGATATTTTAAATTCGATACCAAAAGAATAATTTTTATGGAAGTCTATTGATAATAAATCATCGCGTAGGATGAAAAATATTAATCATAGAAGAAAAAAAAAGTTAACCTTGGGATTGTCAATAGTTAAATACATTATGGATGGATAACTCATCGTTTCATTGATATTATTCTCGCCGCGGTGGCTCAGTCGGTAGAGCGTCAGTCTCATAATCTGAAGGTCGTGAGTTCGATCCTCACCCGGGGCAGATTTCTTTTTTTTTGCTTCTCTTTGATGTTCTTCTATACAGATAATACAACTAGGAGTTATTCTAGTTTTGTACAAATACTCTTTTATCTCTTGACATTTTACGCCCAATTATATTATGTCTTATCAATCATAATCGACCAATAATTGTCAACCTTTTCATAACTAAAACATCAGAATTTGATCTCTATTGTAAAAATTGTCTATCTTTAATTATACATTTATTATTCAATATATTGTCTCTCGTGTATAAAAGAATCTTCTTTTTTTATAGAAAATATATTTAAATAACTTTGAATATCTTCTTTAAGAATACATAACTTATTTATAGTTTCTTTCTGTTTGATATATCCAAACATATTTTCTTAAGTTTTGAAGATAAATTCTTAAATTTTGTTAATCGACTTTGTTCATCTTTTTGAGGAAAAAAAGAACACTCAAATAGTGAATTTGTTTTTCTTCTTGTAATCATTGAAACAAGATCATCACACACAAGACCAAAAACAAAACGAGAAAAAAAAGAAATGTAGAAAAGACAAAGGTATTTCATCATCTGCAACATAGAGAGCTTTTTTTTAACGAGATAAACACAACAAACAAGAAAACGCCATCGTAAATAAACTGTCATTCAACTAGGAAAAGAGAAAAAAAAAACCATGAAACATATATAACTGAAATTATTGTTCTTGTTGTTGTTGAGATGGTGGAGCTGAACGAATTTGTTGACGTTGATCATTGTTTTGTTGATATTGAGCAGGTTTTTGATATCCATTAGTATTATTATGATAACCACGATTACCACCACGATAATTACCTCCACGATTACCTTTAATAAATTCTTTAAATTAACTGATCTAATATTAATATTATATCTTACCACGATAGTGTGGATTAGATCCATTTCTAGCTCGATTATTTTCATTATATTGTCGTTGACCACTACCATGAGGATTATCATATCGAAGACCACCTTCAAATAATCAAATAAATATATCACCTTTTTTCGAAACACAAACGAACATCTCGATATTTATCTTTTGCAAAAGAAGCCTTCTTGAATTTTAATGTTGTTTCTCATAATGAAATGATCATGTCTAATCCCGTGTGAAACTATGAATACACTGAAAAAGAGTTTATACTATTAGCTTATTGCTGCGAAGGTACGAGTTTTTGAATGAATGCCGTGATCTCTCCCTCAATAACACCAGAAAAGTTGATTTTTGAATTTTAACTTGAAACTTTGCAAATAAATAGGCCTTAACAAGAATGGCTCTTGACGAATATTTCAGATGTTGTCGCTATTTCTATCCTAAGATACAATTACGATAACAGTGTGTCTTTTATATCGCTCATATCAATCTGTAGATTTGATGCTCATATTTCAGGATAGGAACAACGAAAAGATTTTAAACTTTTCTCGTTTAGATCTATCTCTATACAAAGTTTCAAATCAAAATGAGAAAATCAGTTTTTCTGGTGTTCTATAGAAGAATAACGACATTGATTCAACAAGTCGTATCTCCGCAACAATAAACTAAAGACATAAACGTTTTTCAGGATATTCCTAGCATATTTAGGTCTGCATAATGCATATAGTCTCGACCAAAAGGTGATTTATCAGTTGAAGGACTTCCTTCATGAGAGGGCGATCGTCTTCTGCGAGGATCAGGTTGACCTTCCCGAAGTTTGTGACTATTGTAGCGCATGTACTATGTATCTATAGTCTCAAAAATAAGTGTTCGCCTTTCCGGCGTTTTAAAAGCGTCTATCCGAAATAAAACAATCTCGGTAGAAAATTGGTCTGTTATTATATTTCGTCTGTAGAAAATAAATTGAAGTCGAACTTGGAAAAGTGATTAACTCGCTATGTAATATATAAAATAAAAAAATATAATTACGTGTTCCTCTCCATTGTTGACTATAATTATTATGTGGAGGTCGATGATAATTTTTATTTCCAGTACCATTATGAAATGGTCCTGTTCTTTGAGTAGTTTCATTGCCTCCTTGATGTTGCCATTGTTCATCTGATTGATGTTGTTCCTCATTTGAAGTAACAACATTTGTTGATTCTTCTTGTTGTTGATTTTGCATTGATGATGATGATGATTGATCATTAATATCTATAAAGAAAAGAAATTAATAAAAATAAATTCAAAAAAGAAAAATCTTACTTGAATTAACAACAGTAAATGTTGTTAAATATTGATTTGGATCAGGTGATTGATCTCGATTATTATCTTGTATTTGTTGATTATTTAAATCAATAGAAAAGAAAGGACTATCTTGTATAATTTGTTCAAGTGGAATATTTTGATTTCTGGTATCAAATTGTAATGGATATTCATTTATATTTATATTTGTGTTGGATGATTGAATATTATCTGTTTCATTTATTTGTTTAATTTGTTCTTGTTGTTGTTGTTGTTGTTGTTGTTGTTCTTCTTCTTCTTGTTGTTGTTGTTGTTGTTGAATAGGAGGTACAGAATTTGTTTCAAGATCAAGATTTTTAATTAATTGTTCAAGAATTTCTCGTATTTCATGTGGATTTTTTCCTGTTCGAGTTTTTATTATTGATGATGGACCACCATGATATATTGATAAAACACTATCAACTGAACGAGTTATTGAATTTGATGAATTATCTGATGGGATTATAATAGAAGATAATTCATCCAATAATGATGATTCTTCAGGTGATAATGTCTAAAAGAAAAAAAAAAGAATTTTTCAGATAATAAAAAAAATCTGATTGATTTACTGTTGGTCGATGATCAAGTAAATATCGAATTTGTGCATATTCACGAAGACGTTCTGAGATTAATAAACGTTTTTCCTCAGCTGCTTGTTTTAAAAGACGTTTTTGATTTTTTGATGACTAAAATTATATTTATTCTTTTTTTGAAATGAAATTTAAAATAAAAATAAATAAAAACCTCAATTTGAATTTTTTTATATTGTTCACTAAGTTCTTTAACACAATCAATTTGACCAAGAACTTCAGGATATTTGGCCAATGCATCTTTTTGATCTTTATTTAATTCTTTACCATCTTTTGCTTCTTTTTGATAACTTTCTAATTTTTCCTAAACAAAAAAATCAAACAAATAATTAATTTAATTTTTTAGAAAAAAAAAATTTCTTATTAGAAATCACTTTTCGTTTTCCTAAATTTCGTTGTTTTTTTTCTAAAACAAGAATTGCTTGTGTTAATGGATCAGCATTATTTGGATCCATTGATGTTGTTTGTTGTGTTGGTGGTGGTGTAGATTTTCCATGACTATTTGATGATGTTTGTTGTTGTTGTTGTTGTTGTTGTAAATCCGTAACAGAAGGCATTCTCATCAAGTTCAATTTATGTGGATGATCAGGTCAAAAATAAAAATAAGAAAGAAATTTTTTTTAGTTTTTATTTTTCAAAAATAAAATCAAAATCTAAAAAAACATGACGCATTTACACCTCGAATTACGTCGAATAAATGAAATAATACAAGTAAATATTGTCCTTACATGGATTCTTATAGAAACTTCAAGGGAAACTGAGGAGGCCAATCCATAAGAACAATTCGATGGTTAGACTTTTAACCAGTTCAATTTCATTTTATTTATTTATTTTTATATTTATATTTGTTTATATTCGATTACTTATTTTCTATTAACTGTTGAATACATCTTACATATTAACATCATTAACAGATGTCCTTATATATCGACAACAACCAAATCGGTTAGACAATAGTAAAGTATGTTAACCTAACAAGATACAACATAGTTCATCGTGCAATCTTATTCGAGTCTCTCTGCAATTTTTTTTTCTTCTGATTACATCAATAAATCATTAGACAAAACAAAATGTTGTATGAAAAATAATATTCAATATTTGATGAAGTGAAATTGATATATTTATATTCTTCATCATAATAAGAAAAAATAAGTTGTCAAACAATGTTTTCATATTGTAAAGACATATTTTATAATATTCTATATACTCACATGAAAATACACTGATTATAAGACAAAAAAATTAAAAAAATAAAGCATTTAATCATATGAATATGAAACAAATACGTTGTTAAATAACTTTTTTTCGTTTTCTTGATTTTGAAACGATGACTTTTATACTGACAATCCTCATATATATAAAAGCCTACATTTGCCTTATCTTATACAACTATTTTTTTCTTTGTTACATTTCTTTAAATATTTTTGTTGTGAGACATGTAAAATCTTGTGATAAAGAAAAGATTAAAAAGAGACAATATGATAAACTTTAGCCTACAGAGCAACAGGAATGATACAATAACAACACCCACACTAAGAGTCATTCATAAAGGACGAATAGGCAAAAATCCCATTTTTTTTTGTGTCACTTGCTCAGAAATGTCAGGTTTTGAGTAATACTCTTTCGTTTTCGTAAAATTTTTTGAAAAATACCTCTTTGCTCAAATAAGCACTTTCTTTTTTGTATAAGGTCGACTAATAAAGTTTCTATATATAGATGATTTATTCGTCGATGATATCTCAGAGAATATTGAGAAGTTTCTTCTTTGAAAATATTGATTAAAAATAATTTAACATGAGAATTTCTTGAGCAATGCTTAAGAAATAACAAAAAAAAAAAATTCGTAATCAATGTTCATAACGCTCAGAGACGTCTGACTCACTTCCGTTTCGTGTTGAGAAATGTTCGATATTTGCCGACCTCGCCATTCTCGTCGGTTCTATTTGTGAACATCTTCTATGGATGATTTCATGTAAGTTCATTGATCTATGATAGTCGTCATTTCAAATAATATATGAATTTCATATCTTATCAAATTTCTCTAGTTTAATAATCATTATTTACGAACAAAAAAAAAACAAGTTGAGATATTTATATAATAATAGTATGTTGGAATTTTCAGTTGATATTGAAAGTTTTAATTTAATATTAGAATATTTCTATTTTCAAAACTTTATTTATATTCAATGTAGATAAATATTGACAACAACAAACTTCTAAGTTAGAAAATTTTCTTCTAGGTTTTTTTAATGTTCTATAAATGGAGTCCTGGAGAGTATAGATAATATCTCCTATTCTGATAATGCAAGCAGATTCAGATTACAAAACCTTTTTCATAGCAGATTTGTAGAGTACGAATATTCTAACCTGCTAATCTCTTTAATTATCATTTAAAATAGAAAATAAATTTCATGAATATTACAAAAGAACAAACGGCATATTAAGGACCGATTTTTTTTTTGTTATAAACATAAAAATTAAGTTGTAAAATATGAAAAAATTGTTTTTGCAAAATGTTTCGCTAGTATATATTTAGTTATCTTAGACATTTGTCTAGTACTTTGCATAAAGCCTGTTCATATCTAGATATATCTCTATAAGATATCTCGATTCTGTCAGTCTAGGATAAAATGTATTGACACTTGTTAGTTCGTGGAAAAATAGTTAATTCCACCCCATCAAAAATGCTTATATTAACATGGTCTTTTATTTGATATAAGATCGTGTAGAGTCTTGATAGAAAAAATCCTGTGTGACGAATTTCGATCAAATACCTCCTTACTGTAATTGACTACAATAGTTGGCTAAACAAGGAGAAGCGTCTTGTGAAATATTTCATAAACCAATAGATAATTAAACTATGTACAAAACAGTCTAAATACTAAACTTGTTTTTTGGTTGATTGACTTGTTTTTACATGAGTTATCTTATAGATATTTTATTCAATGTATCTTCTATGTAATGACTGTTCGTATATTTTTTCATTTATACCAACTACAAATACTGGGTGTCCCAAAATGTTTGCACACATTTTACTTAGCATACATCTCAGCATGGAAAACGCATAAAAATATTACATTTTTTTTAAAAGATGCGCTGTAGAAAGCTCTAGAAAAAATTCCGAACCAAATCCCTACTGGTATGTTCTGATGATTTTTCCTATACTCAAAGTGAACACCTACATATTAGTGCTACTTCCCAGCATAATAAAGAGTCTTTCGAAGACTTTTTTATTTTGCATATATCTCGGCCTGAGAAAACGATATAACCTTGAATTTTCTTTTAAAAGATCCGTTGTCGAAAGCTCTACACAAGCTGCATGGAGAAATTCCTATTGACTTGCTTTATTAACTTTTATGGATGGTTGAAAGTGACAATCTGCGTGATGTTGCTACCAGATGATCCAAAATGTTTGTAACTTTTTTTTATTTTTCATGTATCTCGACTTTCAAAAATGATAAAAACTTGAACTTTTTTTTAAAAGATGCTCCACGGAGAGCTCTATAAAAACTGCATAAACATATCCCTATTAACTTGTTCTGATAGTTCTTCCCATATTGAAAACGAATAACCCACATGATAGTGCCATTTCTCATCGCACTGAGCATAATAAAAATATTTCGCATATATATCTCGGTTTTGGATAATGATAAAAGGTTTGATTTTTTTTAAAAGATGCGCCGTCAAAAGCTCTACAAAAGCTGGATGAACAAACTCCTGTCGTAAAACAAAAAAAGTTTTCCAAAGACTTTTTATTATGCTCCATACAGTGGGAAGTAGTGCCAACATGTAGAGCAAATGTCCCTATTATCGACAGCAAAAAATTGTCTTATCTTATTTGAGTCCGTACACAGCTATTTTATATATGAAGTAAAATATTTTTG